TAAAAAATTTAGTGTATGTATATGAGTTAAAATATTAAATATAACATTTAAATATATATTATATACATATGCCTACATGTACAAATTGTTCTGTTTAGATAAAAATTGTGGCAAAAAAAATAGAATTTTCTGAATTTTAATGTATGTATTGTACATATTATATTGTATATAAGGAGTCGAAAAGCTGTGTAAAGTTGTGTGAAAATGAAATTTAAATATTAATATTATTATAATGTAATATAATCGTATTAAATATTTAGAAAAATATATTTTAATAATATGATCAAAATTTAAAGAAGATATATATGCATATATATATATAGATATTACGGTTATATATATATACATATGTATAAATTATATGGATTAGAAAAATTTTTTTTAAATTCGAAATCAAGATTTAAAAGAATTTTTTCAATTTGCCTTGAATAATAATATTTAGAGAGAATTATAAAAGAGAAAGTTAATCAAAATTTTGGACAACAGCCAGGTTATTAAAATATCCATCCTATCATCAATATAGCATAGGAAACAAATTTCCAAAAATTAAATATTGAAGAGTGCTAATTTACTTATTCGTATTCCACTTTATTTTCTACTTTGCTCTAATTACTTCATAGACTGAAGCATATAAAAAAATATTATAGAAAAATTTACGTGATAGATATTAAGATCGCCTTGTATCTGTAAGTATCTAGGATTATCACTATATACTAATTAAATAATTCATAATAAATCTTTCTTGAAATTTCGCCCTTAATTAAACATCAATATGGAGCAACTTTAATATTCATTTTATGAGAATGCTTTATATACGTATTCTTCGATTAATGCACCGTACATATTATGTACACATCTAATATATTACAAATATAGAATTATCAAATAATAATTAGTAAAGTCCAAAATTAGAAATTAGACAAAATTAAATTTGTAATAGAAATTACAAAGAATAATTAGTAAAGTCCAAATATCCCTGAAAATTAAAAATAGCATTGTATTTGGTTTTCTGTTATACCATTTTCGTTTTTACATGATTCCGCACACTAAATTTTAACGGGACTTCTTTCATCACAGACAGTTTGTTTTGTAAATTGTACTAATTACACTATTCGAAAGCCGGGTTGCAAGAGTTAATGTTAAGATATAAAAATTTTATTTTTCAACAAATTTATTAAAACAACCCTGTACTATATAATATATATATACAAATGTTTATATGAAATTATCTATTATACCCACACTATATATTCTTTATTAAAAATCGAAAAGAAGTATGTACATAGTGTATGCTTTATCGAATATAATGCGCCTTTTATAAAATCTTTATGTATATACTCTCTACATTTAATAATTATTCAGTATAATTGTATACATATTATGTATAAATGTATGTATACTCGTACATACTCATATATTATTTACCGTTTCCTTTTTATACATCTATATTACTTGCCAATTGGATTAACCATTTTATTTATTGGCAAATTGATTTTTAAGTTAACTAAATTTATTGAATCATCATATAGTTTCTATTGAATTATATGATGTCTAAAAGGCCATGTACATAATATATTATATAAATTGAACAAAATGTGTAGTGTCTCTATACATATATAAGTTCTATATATATATGTATAATGGCTTATATATCTATATTATGTTTTTATAATTTAATAATAATTGCGTACTGGATTTTCAATTATATTGTTTTTAGGATGAGATGAAAATAATATTTTTTAACAAAATGTTCAAGAATATTGGATTTTTATTATATTTTCGCAATAAGGGATCATGCAAGCCTTACAATAAGTGAAAAAAAGATAAAATTTAATTTAATAGTATGTAGAGAGAGGAATGATTTCAATTTACTTCAAAGTCAATTATAGCATTTTTAATTCAGAAAAGAAAAGAAAAATTCATTTACACTGAATAAATTATTTTTTCTTTCAAATTTACAATTTGTTTTTTCCGAGAACTAATATACACAAAAGTTTTTTTTTTATTGTAACTGGGTACACATATATATACATCATTTTATTTATGTAAATATATTTTATATATGTACACGTCCCGATATATACATACATTGTAAAAATATTGTACCGTTATATATAAAGATAATTTCGAGCAGGTATACTCGTATAAAAGTACAGGAATTTTTTTATACCTTAGCGTAGGTCATATTTTTGCCACGTGAATATGTGTATGTATATATTGTCTTTATTGAATTATCTGGCAATTTTGACAAATTAAATCTTACAATCAATATTATTTGACACGAAATGTTTTTGTTTTTTAAAAATTTAATATTTTTATTCATATATTTAATACTTTCATTTCGTGATATTAATCATTAACAATATATAAACATTTTACGTATGGTGCAAGGTTAAAAACTTATTTATGGGTATAAATAAAGGAATATGACGGGGTTAAACTTTCATGCAACGCAACTGATGTATAAATGTATTTTATATTGTACCATGAACTTGAAACTTATTTTAGGTCTTTATTAGAAACGTGCTTATCTTACGAACGCATAGCATATTGTTATTTTAGAATTCAAATTTGTATTATGTGTAGTATTTTTGGGTATATATGTATGTAATATGTATAACATATTTATAATTTATATTTTTAAAAAAATATGGAACAAAAATATTTTTAATAGGGCTGTTGTATATTGAGGATGTACACTTCTTAATATGCGTGTATAAAATAATAATTGTTACCATATTCTTCAGTAATCACGAAAGCCGCCAAGTGGAATATTATTATACATATACATATATGTATATAAGTTTTCATTTGCTTCCTTTTTAATTTTTGTTTTACAAAATATAATACAACTTTGTTCGTTGAAAATGGCAAATGAAAGGAGATTTACTCTATTTTACATTTGATTAGAAGTGAATAGTAATCTACCAGAACTTCGACTTAAAATATATACAATACTAAAATGTTCAAATATGTTATTTAAAATATTCTGGGTCTCTGACACTTGACAGTACTCCCGAATACGAGTGATAGAATTATTTCAGGTGAAAAACAACATGTAGCAACATTTTGCTTTTTGGGCCTTCCTTCTCGAGTTATACTTGGATAACGTTATTAGACAATTTTAAGAAACTCTTTAAAGTTTACTGCTTTAAAGTTTGTGTAGCAAATTTTGGTGAACATCCACGTAACATTAACTAGAAGATATAGGAGCAATTCTGAATGTTTTTTGTAATTACTCGTAACTTGCAGAATTCAAGGAACGTGTAACATTCATAATGTACTTGTAAGTATTAATAAACTAAATCATAGTACATACTTAAGTTTTTAAACGTTTATGAGATTTTATTAATGGACAATAATTTATTTTTTCATCTTATGGCGATATAAGTACTGTTATGATTTTTATATCGAAAGTTGTTTTAAAAATAAGGTCCACGAATTTATTTGTGTTTGATCATATTATAGTTTTGACTAATTTGCATTTAATATGAATCAAGAATAATTTCAATCAAACCAAGACAAGACGTCTTCAAACGAATTCACACCTATCACATTAAAATTATTTTCTGGCCGAAATAAAATGGAAGTATTTTTTAGTGGCAAAGATTAAATGAATTTTAAAACAAATATATATGTATGTTATATTGTACATAATTATTTAAAATATTACCTTTTTATTATGTATGCCATATTTTCACATGTTTTTCACTTAAAATAATAATAAAGTGTATTAATATTCAACCTTTTTAACTGCAATTTAATTTACTGACAATAATTCTTTTCAATTTCAAACGGTAAAATTAAAAAAAAAAATTACGATATTTTTTCATTTTGAAATTTACAATTTCAGTGCTGCCATTAAATCGAAAAACCAATCACAATTTCAAAAAGAAAAAAATAATTTCTCAATTATATTCACAATAAAATCTTTTTATTTATGACTCCCATTTTAAATGTCATAATAATATCTTACTAACCATGATGTAAAATATGACACATTCACAATTCTAATTGAAGTTAGTAGATCATTGGTAAGATTATTATTATAATTAATAAGTTATTATTATCTTTATTATATTAAAGCATTGATTAAAGAAATATGTATGAACTACCGTTAAAAATAAATTATGTTCATAAATTAATGAAACTTTTATTATATAATAAACTATAGATTATGTAATGTTTGCCGTAGCACAAAGTACTCATACAAATATATTGAAAATTTTATAAAACTTTTCAAGTCGAAATTAAAAATGCAAAAATACTAGTTATCGTTTTTTATCGTTGTCATAATTATCGTTTTCTTGCTATTGTCAAGTTTTTTTCTTAAAAATTTTACTTGACTTTTTCTTTCTTTTTTCAAGTAAGTGTCAAAATAATGCTAACAATAAATATTTTCTTATGACAAAAATTACAATTAAGTAAAAATTAAAAAGCTTTTAACGTTTAGGAAGAATATAGAAAAATTATTTATTTTATTATTAGTTTTTAAACGAAAATTTCATGGAGCAGTGTAAAACTATCAAATTTTAAATAACATTTGGAAAAATTTCTCGATTCATATTAACTATCTATTGTGAACAGATATTAAAAGTCATTTGAAAGCGGTATGAAAAATGTCAACTATTGTGAATGAATGTTATCAGAAATTGTCAAAATACACATTTTTCATTTTATTTTTTTTTTGTGTATTAAAATTTTCGTTTTTATTATTTTGCAGAGACACAAAAATTTTTTATGCCTTCAGTGATTGTCAAATTTTGTTATTGTGTTGTTGTATGCTGTGATTTTTCTTACTTCAAATTGTGAAAAAATTAAAATAGAATTTTTTTTTTTATTTAAAAATAGTGTTAAATCATTTTTTCTACTTATTTAATTTAATTTTTAGAAAAAATATTATTCAAAAAATTTTTGTATTGAAAATAATTAAAAAAAAAAAAATGAAGTAAATTTTCGAGTGAAAGAAAAAAAAAAGTCATTGATAGTGTGTGCGCGAGTTTATTTAAGAAAAAAAAAATAAGAAAAAAAGAAAATTAATCTTCTACTCTTCTCCATTTATTCTCTATTCAGTGTGTTTTTTTTTTTTGTATAAATTCCCCAACACAGAAAAAAAAAAAAATTTTGTATAGATAGAAAAACCTCATAGAAAAAACCATAAACAAAATTGATAAAAAGCTCAAAAAAATTGCCGGTATTTTTTTCAACTCTGATATTGTTGTGTAGATTTTTCTTTCTTGTTTTTTTTATCTTTGAAATTCCAACAAAAATATTTTTTTTTATTGCATAAATATTGAAATTTAAAATCTGTATCCAGAAAATTGTAAAGCTTTTTCACTTCTTCAATATTCTAGAGCTATTCCCTCCGTATAATTATATACAAAAGATAAATCATTTAATATTCCATAGAGAAGAGTAGCCATATATTGTGGCATAGAAAATAATATAAAAGAAAAATATAATAATAACTTAGATAGGTATAAAGTGTAAGAAAAAGTTATATTAGATAGAGGATAAACAAAAAAAAGCTGAGCATAATAAAAGTTCTGAGATTTTTTCAATTCAAAACATAAAACAAAAAAAAAATATATAGTAAAATTTTTCCTATTTTCCAACAAATAAACCTAAAAAAAAAATTAAAGTTTTTCATTCGAAAAAAAGAGAAGAGATTTTTCTCATAAAAATTCAAAAAGGAAAAAAAAAAAATAATCTAAAAATTTTGTGTGAATTTTGAATTTAGTTAACGTTTTACAATGGCTCCGGGAGTATGTATAGTCGCGGCCGCAGTTATTAATTCTCGTCATTTCCTTCGCTATGATTTATCGCGTAGTGGATTACGAAAATTAACTAGTTTTCCAATTATTTACAATACGGTAAGTTTAAAATATTTGATTACTTATTTATACAAATTTATATTTAAAATAGAATTTCTACTCAATTCTATCAAGTGTCAAGATATTTCATGTAATATTTACCGACTACTTAAAATAACATACTTACATAGCTATGTATGCAATGATAAATAAAATAATATTGTGAATAAAATAAAAATGTCAAAAATTCCACATGTTTGGATTTTTTTTTGTGCAAATAAAAACGCTTACAAAAGAATTGTAAGGGTATGTTGTTCGTAATTTTATTGTTCGCAAAACAAAAGAGCGTTTTACAAAGGGCAACCAATATTTTTAAATCAATGAAATACAAATTTTGTAGCTAATATTTTGTGTTACCATCCATTTGTTTGTGTGCTTTGTTTGAATGATTAATATTTCACTATAAAACTTTATTTACCTACTAAGCTAAGAGAGATGAGATGAAATAAGAAAATTATAATAAACACAAATTCATAAATGATATTGAATAAATTTGATTAGTAAGAATGTTAATCAGCATATGAATAAAATTTCTAAACATCTACATACATATTTACATAATTAAATACATATGTATGTAGCATACAAATTTTATTTAAAAATTGATAAGCAGTGATGATCAAATTATTTGGTGTACCATGTCGTTTTTTTTTTTTACGTTTTTTTACAGTAAACTTCTAGTTTCAGTATGTAGGCTTCTAGATTTGCAAGCATGCATTTTAAAATTAATTAATTAGGGTAAGTCCAAGTAGACTTTGATTTTATACTACTTAAAACTAAATGGATTTTAATTTATATAAGTATTTGGGGTAGCTGGTTATACTTAAGTAAAACTAAGTTATAAATTCTGATAAAATTTAAAATTTAATAAAAATGTTAGGTATACGATAATCTCGTCATTTTGCAGTACTATTGCTTATAAGTATTTTTAATTATTGCTAAAATTCTTCGCTTAAATACAATCATTTTTTAAAATTATTTAGGAGTTAAGCGAGAGTAGGTAACCTATAAATACCCATGAATTGTGCAGTAAAGTTCGAAAAAGTGTTTTTGAGAATAAGTTGCATCCTTAAATAAAATAATTAAAAATTATGTAGTGGTGTTAGTGAGTAAAATAATTTTTACTATGTAGGTAGGTAATTAAATACCCATTACATTTTAATTTCTGTAAATTTTAGTTGTTTTAATTTAAATTTCGCTTATTAATATTGAAATTATAAGGTAAATAAGAACTCCTCATTCAAATAGTTGTGAAAGAGATAAGTGAGTACATATATAAGCATTTCTTATTAGTAAATATTTCTTATAAGTAAATATTTGAATTAAAATGCTTAATTTGTTTAAAGGTAGATAGGTTCCCACTTACCCACTTACATAAAATTAATTGTGTTTGTTAATATTATATTGCAATTATATTTATAATATTTGTATAATTAATAGAATTATATCAACTATCTTAAGTAATGGACATATAATAAAATATTTGCGGCTTGTTTTGATTGTTACAATTGAAAACGAATAAGTAGCTAGTTATGTAACCATAATAAAAGTTGATTTTAGCAGAAAATAAATAACAAAAAAAAAATCACGATGCTTAGCGTTGGTAAATAAACAAAAAATTCTTATCAGAAATAAGTAGTAGAAATTTTTTTTTCACATCACTTGCTACTTGCATATTAAGCACTCATTTAGTTTTCTGTATTCTGGTGATAAGATTTTTATTTAATTTTTTTATATTTTACATTATCGTTAAACTGAATTGAATTAAATGTTAAGTTATAAGTAATTATAAATTGTGTAATCAGTTTATATAAATTCTAACTAAGTATTTATAAAAATTGAAAATAAATTTCGTAGGGATTTAGGTAGGTACCTATATTAATTAATAAAATATTGGGAACTTTATTAATTATTTTATTAATTTTATTTTTTTTTATTTTATTAACAAATATTTTATTAATTAATTATTTTGTACTAACTATGCAATTAGATAATATTTGAGCCTATAAATATTGTTCTTATAAATTGATTCTGAAGATGTTAGTAAGAAGAATTTTTATTACTTACATTATTAACTGTTACACTTAGGTAGGTACTTAATTAATATAAATAAATAACAACTTAGGTTAGTTATACTTACGCTAGAACATTAGAATGTTTTTACTTAAGTACATTAGAATGTATTCTAATTAAAGGTTAATGTAAAATTTAGAATATCTCATGTAAGTAAACAGAAAATTTTTATTTTTACACTCTTGATTATTGCATTCAATCAAATTATCTACATATAATTAACGTAAGTTTAACCGTAGCGAAGTGTTTTCAGTGAACTTGAAATATAAAAGATTTTGATATTTAATTTGCCCTTTTCAATAGAAATTTAGATTAAGTATAGTATGTAAACATATACCCATATACCCAAATAAATTCATTATTATTATCATTCTTAAGATTTACTTTTATATGATTTACGTAGCAGGAGGTAAACAGTTCGGTAAACAGCTTTAATTTATTGTGGTAGCTACATGGTTTGATTTTAATAATGCAAAATTCTAGCAATATTAAAATTATTATAAAACAATATTTATTTCTTAAGTTTCGTTTATTTATAAAACAATTAAATTTACGTATTATTTTTCAAAAAAAAAATATCAATGAATAAAAAAAAATTGATAATAACAGAATTTCATTAAAATATTAAAAATGCAAATATTTATGCTACTTAATTATACACAAAAAAATTTTTTGTTTTGCTTCTTATCAAGTAAGTGCTATGTTTTGTGACGTAAAAATTTTGTACATGGAGTGGAATATTCATATTTATTAAGTGTGAACTATATTATTTAGTACGTTATTTAGTACGTTAATTTTCAAGTACTTAATATAATAAATAATGTCTGATACATAACTGATAAGTATTTATTAAGTTAAATGAGTGTGATTTGAATTTTAATTAGAGAATCGATTACTTATTTAACTAAGCAAATCAATTCAAAATGATCAATGAATTTAATTTGTATTACTTAGATTTCCTGGAACAAATAAAAAATTATCTTTAATAAAAGAGGAAATTAAATTGTTAATTTCATTTTTATTCTAAATATTTATCATTTTAATAAAATATCATAGGTATTGAGTACTTCTTTTTTTTTTGTATTTATAAGTAAGGGGATTAATCGAATGTAATCATTGTAAAAATTATTAAAAAATCTATTTAACAAAATTTGTATTTGAAATATTGAAAATGAAGTTCGATTAACAGAAAAAGAAAACCATACCCAGACCATAACCAAATTAATTCCTAACCATAAAAATACAAAATTAATAAGAAACAAATTCGGTTTTGCATGAATTAGATTCAGAACCCTACTGCTAAATTTTATTAAGATTCTAAAATCTAAGTATTTTTTTTTTAACTAAAAATATTACTTAATATTTAAAATTCTATTTCAAGTTTTTTAATAAAATTAGTCACCATAATGAATTTATTTTTATTAAAATGCGTGATCAAATTAAATTCAAACAAAAAAATTTCAATTCTAATATTGAGTAAATAAGTACTTACTTAAGTATTTTAAAAATATATTTAAATTTTAGAAGGACACTTTGGGCATTAACTTTTTGTATTGTAGTACAAAGAATAGATAAAATTTTTGTTATGTTTATGAAAATGGTAATAAATTTAGCTGCGCTTTTACGTAATAATTTTTTGTAATTAATAACAGCAACGCAACTTAATACTTGCATAATTTACTTACGTTTTTATTTACATTAAAAAAATGACGATTTTTAGTATGCAATTGCAGTTTATATAAACAAGATTCAATTCCGAATTTCTTCAGGAATTGACTTCACACTAGTAAAGACAAAGTTTTACATAAAGAATTTATATTTGATAAAGTGTGGTTTAAAGTTCTTAAATGTAAACTGATGAATTACAGTTAATTCGATTTTATTAATTTATCATTAAGTAACTAAGTGTAATAAATTTCCAAACTTAAGGAAAAGAGGTTTAAATATTAAAAACAACTAAATTTATTATTAATTTATGATACCTTTTTCATAAAAATTTTATTGAATTTTTTGAGCTCCCATACTAATTAGATTATAAGGTTGTATTCTAAAATACAAACGAATATTCTATTTTTGATCTGGCTTGTTATTATGTGGTGTAGTTCGACTTTAATATTTTAAAAATCTCAATTTTCGAATTTCAATTTTTAATTAACGAAAATATTTAAAAAATATTTTTTTGCAAAAATTAATATTTAAAACAACCACACGAATTGTTTTCTAAAAATTACTTGATATTTTACGTGTATACTTATAAGGTACATACCGTTGCTTAATATTTTCTCAATATTAATTTGACCATGTCTGTCAGCATAAATTATTTTTATTTTTTTTTTTTCATAGAAAATATTTATTCTGGTTTTGTATTCAAAAGAGTTGAATTAAATTTGTATACGTATATATATTTTTATTAATATTTTTTTAAAAAAAGAACCAAAATAGCAAAAAAAAAATTTTTTTTTAAATATAATACAAAACTTACTTATAAATATTCAAAAAAACAAAAACAAAACAACAAATAAAAAATACATGTGAAAGAAAATTTTATTTTATTTTTACAAAAAAAAAAAATTCTTTTAAAACAGCCAGCAAATAAAAGACAAGAGAAACTAAGTTGGTGTATTTTAGCGAAATTTTAATGAAA